TGTCTGAACACACTGAAAAACTTTGGGAAAAAACAATTATAGATCCACTTGAGGAAACCGAAAAAAAACAAAACAATAAAACATTAATTATTTTAGAGGCTATCAGACAACGACAGGGTCAGACTGGTGCCAGTAAAATTTAAAATCTTGTCTGATGCGTTTTCAATCTTTTAATACTCAAGTGTGAAGTCTCTGAGAGGCGTCATATAGACATTTAGCAAATAGGTGTGAACAGAAATTCAAAAGGTTTGCTGAGGAATAGGCTAAGTGAACTCTAGAATATTTACATCGTTTACCATAATTTACCAATAAAATAATTAAATTAGACTCTGAGAGTCAATACGAAATCTGTAAATGGGATTCCTAACCTTCGCCTTCGCAATTTTTCCGATTCCCCGATTGCGATTAATCGTCCCAACACACACACACACACACACATATATATATATATATATATATATATATATATATATATATATATATATATATATATATAAAATTATAACATAAGTATGTTATAAAATCACTACAAAAATAGCCATTTTGTTTCAACACACTCTGTGTCTTATCAAGTGATGATGTTGAAAATAAAATAAATGGTTTTAAAAGTTTCAGATTAATTAACGATCCTACACTAGGGGGGAAACATTGTTACAAAAGCTAAAATAACCAATCAAAAACCAAGTATAGAAAGATTCAAAAGCTTGACAACGAAATCATGTTATAATAGCTATTCAGATCTTTAAAATACGTGTAATATTAAAAATAATTTATACTAACCAATAATTATAAAATTATATGATCAAGTTTAATATTAAAATTAAAAACTGGCAATTTTAAAATCCAAATTTAATCACTATTAAGTTTAAAACTACAAAATTATTGAGAAAAGAAAAAATATATATGTTTATTCAATTCATTTCTTCATTGAAATTACATTCGATAATCCGGTCATTTGACAATGCATGTATATATATTTTTTTCTTTTCCTTTTCTTTTCCTTTTTTATTTTAAAGTGTGTGAATGTGGTCTTAAACTCACGCGCAAAACAACAAAAACGCAATCAGATTATAATACATAAACACCCAGACATAATTAGATATATATATACACACACACACACACACACACACACAAAAAAAAAAAACGGCGACGAGACAGGAACATCTCTACAGCCCTTTATGAAAAAAGGAAACGTGGAAACCAACACCTATACAAACACACAGTTAAATGTGAATACACTCTACATACACAGACACCGATAGATACACGTACACACATCCACAGACAATGACATAGACAATCAGATACCACAACCAATATATATATATATGTATGTGTATGTATGTATGTGTATCTATGTATGTGTATATATATATATATATATATATATATATATATATATATATATATATATATATATATATATATATATATATATATATATATATATATATACACTAATACACTTATTTTATATATATATATATATATATATATATATACACTATTTTTTTGTTTATATATATATATATATATATATATATATATATACACTTATTTTATATATATATATATATATATATATATATATATACACTAATACACTTATTTTATATATATATATATACTAATACACTTATTTTATATATATATATATACTAATACACTTATTTTATATATATATATATACTAATACACTTATTTTATATATATATATATATATATATATACAGTAATACACTTATTATATATATATATATATATATACTACTACACATATTTTATATATATATATATATATATACTAATACAATTTATTTTATATATATATATAAATACTAATACACTTATTTTATATATATATATATATATATATATATAATCCTAATGTCAGCTATCAATTATAAAATTAATTATAGTCATCAAATTCACTTAAACGCGCTACGATTTGTGCTTTTACTGCAATTAGGGAATTGGAACCTAGCGCCCCCCCCCCCATAAAACGTCTAAAAATCGACATCGAAAATTAAAAAAAATGTTTTTAATACTAGGAGCGCGAACTTTAGCCCCTATTTAAAACAAGAGGAGAAGGATCCTAGCCCCCCAGTAGAGTAAATATCTATTTAAAAATATTTATTTTAAAATATTCAGTGGGGGACTTAGCCCTATTTTAAACTAGAGGGATGGGAGCTTAGACCCATCCTTCTCGAACGGTCATAATTTTCTGTTGTCGAATTGCCATTTTTTCCTATTTATCTACTTTTGCCATTTTTACCTTTGCCATTTTTACCCTGCCATTTTTTCCGTTGCCATTTTTACCGAGCACCCCGTAAATATACTACCCCCTCGTTACCACGATTACAACTTTGTGTTGAACATTCAGGCAAACATTTCAAACATCTATGATGATTGTTCCGTTTGGGCATGTATCATGATAGCTAAATAAATTTCTTTCTGAATTTACCGCTTTTTTTTTTTTACTGGGTTCCCTGTATAAAATGCAGGTACACGTCCTTCTGTATTTGTATTGCTCTTTCTGATAATAAAATTCTCTCAAAAATAAGTGTATAAGACATATTCAGACTATTTAATCCCTTCCACAGCGTAATGGTATATTTACGTTTTTACCAGATACGGACGAATAAACCCGTTCAAAAATAACTATCAAAAACCAGCTACTGACGTATTTATACGTCGGTATTAATTCTTTTTATGCCCTTCTGTGCTTGAAACGAGTCCTGTTTTCAATTCATACGGTCTGGTAAAGGTGTTAGCCATCGCTCGGGTACTTCAAGGTACATCAGTTTCTTGCTTACTATATTAAATCAAATAAAAAAATAAATCGTCCGAAAATAAAAAGTCTTTTGCAGAATAATTGGCGGGAAAGGGGTTAACTTTTGTTTATTCACACTTTTTAATTAATTATTATTTTTAATTATTTTATGTTACTAATAAAAGAAATTTATACTATCTTTGTTGTTATTATGCAGTTTCAGTCTCTCTGACTTTCTTCAGGTGTGGATCTTGGAAACCTTTAGGAATTTTTAAGTTAACTCATTATTAAATCTACAGGTTAATGTTGTTCTCATTCTGCTATCCATATGTAAGGATATCACGTTTTCTTTTCTTTCTTTTTTAATAATGTTCATTTATTATCCACCCTGTTTCGATTGAGTATGAGTCCATACTAACCGGACCAGGGATTGAACCCACAATTACTCTGCCATCAATTTCACGGATCAAGCTCAGTTCAATCCCTGAGTCCGGTAATACAGACTTAAACCCATTAGAAACATACCAAGCAAAAAAAAAAAAAAAAATGAGCCTTCAAATTTACGAATCAGATTGAGTTCAGTCCCTCTACCGGATAATACAGATTTACTCAGTTTTTGTTCGGCCTTGTTTCTACTGAGTAGTACAAAAAGAACAAGACAAGATATCCTGAAACACAGACAGTGGAATGAGAAAAATATATTTACCCGTAGATTAAGCAGAAGGTGACCCGAACTGTCAAAACACCTAAATAAGACCCGAAGATAAAATGAACGAAAATAAAATGTTTGGATAATAACAATAAAAATAAGGACGTTAGGCCGAATTCAAATCTTTTTTGCCTTCCATCAGTATGGCTGATGCTAATCATCAAGAGAGTGACCCACTGCGTCTTCTCGAGCTAAGGTTTTCCACTGAGATGAAGTTAAAAGATTATACTGAATGAATTTCTAGGTCTGCTGCGAGGAAAGTTGGTTCACTGCGTCGTACTAGAGAATTTTTCGCGCCAGAATCTATTTTGCACATTTAGAAGTCTTCAGTTGGGGCAGTAAAAAGCTTTGTCTTTACCCATGCGTGGAGAGATAGATCACGCGACGACAGGGCGTCTCCCATTGGTCGATCCTGCCACGGGCCGACCATACAAAAAAACGTAGCACGTGGAGAAAATATATATATATATATATATATATATATATATATATATATATCAAACCTCGCCGAGTGACACACGTGTGAGGTTTTCAGTCCAAACTTGATCTCTGAGAAACTAATTTTTCTGTATCTGTCTATATTTCTGATTATGTACACTATTCACATTGTTCGGACTATTGTCCTCATCTTTGTCGCCATATTTATTACAACGTTTCAGCCGAACCTTTTATTTTGCTCACTGGGGTAGATTGTTCTAGTTCCACGTGTCATTTTTAATGGATGTCAGTTATCTCCTGTTAATTCCCCTCTCCAAGTTCTACATTGCCTTAACCAGGTATTGAACTGACACTGTTTGGGTCCTTTCACTGGATCTAACCAACACCTTTATCCACTGTGCCATGTGTCCTGGACACATGGCATAGTGGATAAAGGCGTTGGTCATTGGCAACAGAAGATAACTGATTACTGACATCCATTAAAAATAGCACGTCGAACTAGAACAGTCTACCCTAGTGAGCAAAATAAAGGGTTCAGTTCGTCATTCCAACCACCTGAAGAAGGCTGCAGCGTACAACGGCCGAAACGTTGTAATAAATATTGCGACAAAGATGAGGACAATAGTCCGAATAATTTAAATAGTGCAGTTTTTCTGTGCTCTACAATTTGGGTAAGTTCGTCAGTCATTATCTCCACGTTAGGGAAGGACATGCGTATATTGTATGTTGTGTTTGTTTAACGTAAAATAAAACCTGTTCCTTTTATAAGTGAGGTTTTTAGTTATCTTGTTTTGCTGATTATATTACATATACCAGTGACTAGAAATCCTCATACTTGTACCTTCTTTCGGTTAACTTTGATTTCCGGTCAACTTTGATCTTCAAAAGTTTAAATGCAATGTCAATCGTTATCTTCTATCTTCTTAATTCCTATTCTTTTCTTGTTCCCTCTCCTTAATATTGTTTTTCTTTTTTTCATATTCTTTCACACTCAGTAGTCCCCTTGTGTCTTAGTAGTGTAACGGGGATAGATAAGTTGGTGTTGATGTAGTACTCATTTCGACGTGATATTATTTGATGAGTGTAACAGGGTGCGATTTTGTGATTGTATAATGTAATCAACCCGTTGTTATATGTATTTGTAGGAATCCTTTTCTCTTTTTTTATATTGAAATGGATTAAAACGTACAACAATAACATAAACCATAAGACTTGAGACACGTGTTGACATTAATAACAAGAATATGTATTTTTTTTTTTTACGTGGCGTGAATGACAGGTAATGGTATGTGTTAAAAATGTTCTCAGTGTTAACGTCTCTTTTGTTTCTTTAAAAGTTTGCGTTTACTTGGAGTTTACTTGGGTTTTTTATTTTTATTTTACTTATTTATTTATTTATTTATTTATTTATTTTTTGCTTGTTCCGAGAATTTCGTTGATGAGGACAACGTTTGAGATCGTTAGTTTTCGATTTTCCGGAGCGATGGTAATACATTGTTTTATTTTAATTTTTTTTTTTTTTTTTACTACTGTTCTTGCCACTTACTACTCTACTGTTCTCTACTCTACTAACTGCCTGTCCTCATTGCCATCCTTGTGGTGGAAGTGTCATCGTTTTTATAATCAAATTTTAGAATGAGGAAATATCTTTCTCATCTTTCATCACTGGTGGCAAGGCTGTTTTTAGGATAATGAAATGTCCTGATTTTTTATCATCGCTGATAGCAAGGTTATTTTTTTAGAATGATGAAATATCATTTTCATGCAGGATCATAATAGTGGCTTCATTGCCTTGCTGGGGGTGTAATGGTTAAAAATAAAAATAATGTAAACATTGATAATAATTGTTAAATAAGTTTGGTTGACATTATGTTGACGTCATCCGATGAATTATATAAAACTATATTTTTTGTTTTTTTCTCTGTGCTTTCTTTTTTTTCAGAGTATAAACGTACCCATCAAAACAACCCATATATGGACGACTGTGATATTCCCGGCTTGCACAGACCTAACCGAACCTGCATCTTCTGGAGACGTCTCCTGGGAAACTGCATCCACCTGCCACATTATGGCTATGCTGAAGGCAGACCATGCGTGCTCTTGTCTTTGGACCTGGTAATTTAAACCACTTTTGCATTTATTTCAAATCCATAAAGAAGAAACCTTTTAGAATTGGTTTGGTTTTTATTTTAATAAATTCTCGAACTCTGAGTGTTAAACATGGCACCTGCGGACAATCTTTCAGTGGCAGTCATTTACATGACCAATCTTTTAACTTTTTTCATCACCCCTTTTCGTATTTTTGCAACCACTTTAAGTGTGACCTCCCCACCAAGTTCCGACGGACAATCAATTTTCAGTGAGATCAGGAAGGAAGATAACTCCATTTTGATGCTGCAAGATGTGTTCTGCGCTAAATAATGCAGAGCACGTTTTTGCCTTGCAATTTAATCTATGAATTAAAAAAAATTATGCGTACAGTTGTTTTTTTTTTTTTTTTTAGAGATGTACGTAATAAATATGAATGGTTGAGATAGGTGCAAAATCCTGCCTGCCTACCACAGCCCTCTTTCTCTCTCTCTCTTCACAATTCCTATCGCCCAAAAATAACAGATTTAATTTAGCTTTGTGGAATAAAAGGTGGGGGGGGCACAAACCCTTGAAGAAAAATTGGTGGGGCAGGGAGCACAATGCTTTTTTAAATTACCAAAAAATCAAGGAATTATCCAACTTAAATGAAAATTTCTGTATATATTCATTAATTATTTACTTTTATAATGAATAGTTTGTTTTTTTTTATTTAAAATAAAAATCTTTTTTTTTGTGTAATAACCACCAATATTTCTATGACTAAATTTTACTCAAAAAAAAATGTTTAAGTCGCAAATTTTTACATTTCCATAAAGAATAATTGCTGATGCATCTCCACTGAAAAAAAATTTTTTTTTTACAAAGATTCCAATACAGCACAAAATTCGTTTAAAATTTGTTTTAAAAACAGTATTTCAGTTTTCGGGAAAATTTTTCATGTGTTGAAATCTTAAAACATTTTTAATTTTTTAAGCAATCATTTTTTCGTTTTTATCTTTCTAGAAATGTAAAAAATAGAGACTAGAAATTTTATTTTAATTACTAGCCATGGACTTCTGGTTAGAATTACTATTAGCAAAAAAAAAACACAGATCCTCCTTAGTGAGTGATCTTGGAATAAAAAATGATTTTACCAAAATATTTTTTCTCTTAATTGATTTAAAGAACTGTTCAGAAATGAAAATTACAATAAAAAAAATAAACGCTACTGAAATTAGCACTTCTGACCCCCTCCCCAGTTGAGATGTTCAGAGAAGTAAGAACCAGGTCTGTTGATTATTATAGTTGATGATTGACAATAGGTAAAAAAAAAAAAAAAAGTACAAAAAGCAAAAAAACGTTGCTGAAACTAGCTCTTTTGAGGTTCCAAAGTCATCGGGGGTTCCTGTATAGTACGCATCACATAATGTATGTTATTATTGATGACTGACAATATAAAGTATGTTTAAAAATAATTTTAAAAATAGCGGATGGCCATAAAACAGTGCTGAAAAAATGACAGGACCCACAATAGGGCCCAAAAAACCCCCAGTCAAGGTTTTTAAGAGTAAGAAGCACTTGACCTGGTTCATATATTTTTCTAATCTTGCAAATATAAAATGATTCTTGTAAATAAGCAATCTAATTAATAGTGTTTAATATCTTTGTTGTCAATTCTCAAAAATAAAGAAAATACATAAATCCACTTTCACATGTTTGGGTTTTATTAAAATTCAAATCATTGGTTTTTAAAAACATTAACATCGCTGAGGGAATCAAAAGCATATATAGTAAGAGCAGTATGAAGGGAATAACTGTCCCTTTTCACACAGTTTTTTGGTCGGCACAGTGGATAGACATTGTTCTTTTTATATCACACAAACTGTAACAGTCAAAAATACATGAGAATTGGCCCACGTCTCGACTTAAAACTGACATGCCATTATAGCTTATTGGCTTACCTTGAAATGAAAGACTGTAAAGGTAAATGGGGCTGTTTTTCCAATTTCAAACTGACAGGTTGCCAGTTGATTACTGGGTAACAAAATAGTCAAATGGCACTGAAAATAAATTGATGCAGCAGTCTGTATATCTGCAATGGAGATTACAATTTGCTTACACTTACCATGACTTATATAGTCTTCAATTTGCCATCCAAAGGTGAGAGGTTTATAAATCAAAGCAAATATGCATGTATGCATACAAAGGGTTGCTAAAAAGTTCTCAGCTTGATTCACTTCCTAAAATCTAAATATTTGCAATTTTTTAAAATAAAATATATGCATGTTTCAACTCCCTTCAGTAAATTATAAACAAAAAAATATTTTTATCTTATTGTAAAATACTCATGTTTCAATAAAAGTGTACATATATTGTTCATGAAAACAGTTTTAGAACAATCAAATGTACCCTTGTCTTTAATAACACAGCTAAATTATCAACACATTTTGCTTGGATAATAGATAAATTCTTGAAAATATTTCTGGAATAATGTAGTTATTAGAATTCTATTTGAAAAAAAACAAAATAATAATAACTATATATATCATACTGAAAATTATATTGGTTAAGAAAGGTTTTCTGGGATTAGTAAGTGCCAAAAAGCAATTGATATTACAAACAATACAAGGAACAAAACTTCTTTCAAAAATTCAAAGTCAAAGACGTTAATATACAGAAAAATTTTAATTAAAATACTTCAAATGAATTTTGTATGCCATTTTCTCATAAAATTAACTGCTATCTTGACTATTTTTAAATATTAAAAACTTTTTGAATAAGCTGTTAATTACCAACTAAAGTCTTTATGTATAATCTAAATATTTGTAATTTTTTAAAATAAAATATATGCATGTTTCAACTCCCTTCAGTAAATGTATATTAACTATGTTTAAATTTAGTGTAACTAAGCAGCAATTGCTCCTTCAAACACATCGTATTAAAGAGACATTCTGTGTCTACTGAGTTTGTCCCTCTTCCTCTTCAAATTACAAATGATCTTTCACAATAATAGCAGTTGTTGATGTATAAAAATTTCCAAAACTTTTATAATGACAGTATCCAAGCTTTCAATTCTCGGGAGTCATCCTGAGGTTTGTGCAATAAGTGAAAAACAGTAATAATTGAAAATAATAATTAATATATGAAAAACAGTAATAATTGTAGATAGTTAAATATAACATTGCACTAAATGCACTGTGTATCTACAGAATTCTACCATTCCTCAGAATTGAGATATTGCTCAAAGTCTACCTATAGCCATTCCCATAAGGTCTGTATATTACATTCTTTTTATATCACACAAACTGTAATAAATCAAAAGGTTTTTTAAAAAATGGTTTACGAATCAAAAGTTCTCGGCTTCCTAAAATCTGGGCAGACAACAGAATTTTTTTTAATGCTTTCTGCTATATATTTTGAGATTCTTGATAAGATCCAAAGAAGAATCTGCAATGTTATTGGTCCTGACATGGCATCTCGGCTTCAGCCATTTTTACCCACCACCATAATGTAGATTCCCTGTGCCTTTTCTATAAAAACTTTCATAGTAATTGTTCTGGGATTAGTAAAATATCAAGAAAACTTCTTTCAAGAATTCAAAGGCAAAAAAGTTAATATACAGAAAATAAATTTTAATTAAAATACTTCAAATGGATTCTGTATGCAATTTTCTCATGAAATTAACTGCTATTCTGACTATTTTTAAATATTAAAAAAAAACATAGAACAAGCCGAATATTTTTCAACATCCCTTTTTTTGTTTTTCTATAATAGCTGTCCTTTTGAGGCAACAGAGATATGGTTCTACTGAAGGATACTGAGAATATCAGGGACCGAACATGTAAGCAATGATGAAATTTTAGAGAAAATATAAACAAAAAGGATACATATACTTAGCATGAAAGAGACATTTTGCATTTCTAAAGCACATAATAAGAATTTGACACATGGGACATAATGAAGACACACATGGGACATAATGAAGACACACATGGGCCAGAATGAAGACAGGAGGGACAGAGGAAAGCAGAGAATAA